TCTAAAAGAACTAAAATTAGTATATAGCCACATAAGTTTATAGCAGTGCAATTCATAGTAGCCAAATTTTGGAACCAGTCCAGATGCCATAAACAGATGAATGGATTAAGGGAATGTGGTATATATACACAATGGGGTTTAACTCAGCTATAAAGAAGAATAAAATTATGGTATTTGTGGGTAAATGGATGGAACTGGAGAACATCATGCTGAAGGAAATAATCCAGACTCGGAGAATCAATGCTTTCTTCCATATGCAGAAGCTAGACCAAAATAAGAGGTGGAAAGGTGTATGGAGGAGATTTCCATAAAAATAGAAGAGAGATCAGTAGAGTAGAGGAAGGGATTGAGGGGTAGGAGGAGGGATGGGAAAAAAGAGGAGTGGTGGAATGAAACTTACCAAACTATCCTATGTACATATATGAATATACTACAGTGAAGTCCACCTTTATGTGTATCTACAAAACACTACTTAAAAATAAAAATAAATAGAAGACCAGTAGAGATGGTAGAGAAAAAAGATGGGAGAAGAGAGGAAGGAATGAAATGGGAAAATACTAGGGATTGAATTAGAGCAAATTACATTCCATGCTTATATGATTATATCAAAATAAACCTTGATATTATGTATAACTATAAAGCATTAATAAAAAATAGAGCATGTGTCTATTTCAATTATAACTTTCAAAAATGAGAGTGAACAGCTGGCATGCAGGACTCCCTTCATTAGATGGAGCTAGGTAGTAGGTGAGCTGATTGATCTAGAATCAAGTAGGAGACAAGGTCACAAAAGTCACTTGCTACCTATTTCCCAAATCATTAAACTACATGTATTACAGAAGTAGAAGGTCCTTCAAAGACCAAGTTCAGCCTCTCGTGTATATAACAAGTGTGTTGGCTCTACTGCTACTAGAATCCAGATCAGTGCTCTGATATATTACCACACTACATCTTTTCTACTTCCTACCAGGATCTGGGAGCCAAAATCCAGGATCTCAAATGAAGCTCTGAAAAGAGGCCAGTGGAGAACAGGGAGAGTAGGAGGATGATGGGTGAAGGCAATACAGCTCAAACTGTACTGGACCTGACAGCTGCTCCATGAAGAAATCTCCAGAGTCTCTCTCTCTAGACTCATATCAATAGAGTTGACATTTAATTATCTAAGTTTCAGTTTTCTCATAAATAAAATGTATCTAAAAATAATTGCACCTAGTTCAGAGTTACCAGGAAGATAATATGAAACAGCGTGTAAAAAAATATTAAATGAACATTGGGCTTTTTCCTACTTATAAGCATCAGATATTTCATCTTACTTTGAATTTTTAAACAATTTAAACACTAATGACCAGAAGGCAGAAAGAATGGAGGAGATTAGAAAGAACAGGCTTATGTACAGAGAACATCTTGTTTTGTGAAATGAATTGTGTAATCACATTCTTTCCACATTGCATCACTTGTTCCTCAGCCAGGATACTAAGATGGCTGAGCCTCTGCTATTATGAAAAGCTCCACTCTAGGACCTACTGAGAATGAGGTCAGGGAGAAAATAGTTACTGAAGGGAACAATGGAATGATAAATGCTGGAATTATAACCAAAGGACCTATCTGGAAATATCATATAGAAGAAGGTCTATTGGCCTTCTGAGCCTGGTCCTTCTGGCCATCTTCCATGAAAAATTTAAGGTCTTCAGAGAAATGCAGAAGAGAATAGTCAGAAAACTCCTCTGGAAGCCTCAACTGCATTGTGAGTCACTTCTTATCAGCGTGAGTGCAGTCAGATAGGAATGCATGCCCAGTAATTCCTGGATACAAACTCCCAGCTCTGGTTCGGTAGGATTGCCTAATGTCTCTAGGAGATTTTCCAATAAAACAACATAATTTTCCAGGCAAGAAACTGAGAAAATTGACCTATTTACTGAATGAAACTTGAATTACCAGAGCCTATCCTGTTTTGACCTCAAATACATAAAAATGACTGCAGTACCAGTTCCAAGGCACCTCTCTTGCTGCTTCTCAGAGCAATAATTTAATAAGGCATGAAGAGGATTGGCAACAGATTTCTCATACTGACTCCTGGGCATATATTTCTTGTACCATATAGAGGAGTGGCACTTTCCTGATCACCTTACTTCTAGTTCCCCCTACCTCAGCACCACTATCCTAATCCAAGCCACCCTCATCTCTTCCTCATTCACAATAACCACTGCACAATCCATTCTCCACAGAGCATCCCAAGTGATTTTTTAGGTAACATCTTTATTGCCATATAATTCACATGCCATAAAATTCACACAATTCAGTGTTTAAGTATATTCACAAAGTTTGTGCAAACATCACCCCAATCTAATTTTAGAACATTTTCGTCATCCCAGAATAAAACCCCATATCCATTAGCAGTCACTTCTAATATCTCCCCTGGCCCCTGGCAACCACAAATCCACTTCTGCCTCTATATATTTACATGCTCAGGACATTCCATATAAATGTAATCAGACAGTGCATTTTTTTTTCCACTTATAATATCTTTATGATATAGCTATGCTGTAACACTATCAGTAAACCATTCCTTTTTATTGCCAAATAGTATTTTATTATATGGCTATACCACATTCTATTTATCCATTTATTGGCTATTGGGCTATTATGAATAACACTGCCAAGAATATTCATAATGTGTTTCATGTGAACATATGTTTTCTAGTTTCTTGAGTATATATCTACGAGTGGAACTTCTGGGTCACATAATAAGTATGTGTAACTTCAAAATTGTTTTCAAATGTTGCTGCAGTACTTTATGATTTCACCACAATTTATGAGAGTTCTAATTTTTCCAATCTTCCATAATATTGTAATTGTTCATCTTTTGATTACAGCAATACCCGTGGGTGTGAAGTGGTTATATCACTATGATTTTGGTTTACATTTCCTTAGTGATTAATGATGCTGAGCAGCTTTTCAAGTGCTATTAGTCATTTGTATATATTACTTAGAGAAATATCCATCTAAATCCTTTGCCTATTTGGTTTATTTATGTTTTCTTACTGCTGAGCCATAAGTGTTCTTTTATATTTTGGATATGAATTCAAGTGATTTTCAAAAAGTACATCAGATCTTGTCACTTGTTACTCCCTTGCTTAGCACCCTCTAATGGTTCTCTAGTAAGTACAGAATAAAGTTCAAAATTCTCATTCTGGTTACAAAGCCCTGTATCTTCTGACATCAGTTTGCTTCCCTGGCATCAATTTGTACTACCTTCTCACTCAGGCTGTGTATTCTAGTAAGAGCAATCTGCTTTCTGCCCTGGAAACAAAGTGAGCTCATTCACATTTCAGGACAACAGCATTAGCTGTCCCATTTGTATGCTTGGCACTCTTTCCTTGATGGTTCCTTCTTATCATTCAGGTCTTAATTCAAACATTGACTTTTCAGACAAATTTTCCTGAAAAGAAATTCTATCTAGAAGTTACCCTTCCATAAAGAAACTTGGGGATGATAGATGCAGTCATTATTTTGATTGGGATAATGATTTCATGGATGTATGTTTATTCAAAGTTTTTCATATTAAATATTTTCTTATTAAAGTTTTTCACTTTAAATATATGCGATAAATTTTACATCAACTATACTATTAAACATATAGTTTCCATTATTACTATAGTTTCACTGTCACTAGCTTATCAGACTTTGTTTTCTTAGGAGAAATTATCTCATTTCCCTTTACAAATTATCTACTGGAAATGACTTTCTTCTTTTTTCATTTTTCTCTTTTGGTGCTGGAGATTAAACCCAGGCCCAAACTTAGGAAAAGGATGAGCTCTACTACTAAGCTATATCCCTAGCACTTGAAATGGTCTTATTTCTTGATTTAAACATCTGCTCTCTGTCTTACCCCACTAGAACAAAAGTGTTATGAAGGCAGGATTATTGTTCATCTTTGTCACTAAAGCATCCTCAGCTTGGCTGACAATGATGTGCTCAATAAATATTTGGCTAATTGAATTAAAGAACAGAAGTTTAGAAAAGAGACTGTGAGACAATAGGAAGAGTGAATTTTTCTTTCCTCAGGTTTACCAGTATATTTTAGACTTAAGAGGATGGAAGTATTATTATTTTCCTTATTAAAAGCAGCCATCTCTAAATCTATCCTGGATGATCTCTATCATTATGACCATCATCATCAACAATCATCATCATCATCATCATCATTAAAAGTATAATTTATGATTCATTTAGTCTGTGGCACTATTATAATATTTCTCCCATTATTAGTGGTTAATTTTATAATAGTATAATTAGTGGTTAATAATGGGAGAACATATCTCCCATTATTAGTGGTTAATTTTATAATAGTATAATAATAATAACATTATGTAGTAATTGTAACAAATATAGCATAACTATAATAATAGCAGCATTAATACAATAACAATTTATTTTAGCCCCTTCTATTTGCCAGATGTAATTTCATTTATTCCTCACAATAACTTTATGAAGTAGGTATTCTTTTAAAGATGTGGAATCAGAAGTTTAGAGAGGTGAATTAACTGTTCAAAGCCACACAGCTTGTATGGTGGAGATGGATCCCATCTTGCTGTAACAATTCTGAAATATTTTTTACAACACAGTGTTACCCTAGCTCATTATTTGCCTTGAGAATGACATTTGCCTTGAGAATGACATTTGCCTTGAGAATGTTACTACCTATACTTTGAAAGGGGTTAGAGGCAAAAGTAAGATAAACGAGAAGTTACTTCCCTGATAATAAATCAGGATACTTACAGGGAGGAATTTGTACTTCATCCCAAAACCATGTCTGGCTTCATTTGACACTTAATTCTTTACTGTTAATGGCTATTCTCTGAACGCCTTGGTATGTACCTAAGCTGCTGGTCCTCTTCCTCCCCTGCCTATTAGTGAAGTGTTCTGGTGAGAACAGACTGACTGTGACAGAGATAGGTAATCTCCCTCATCATCTGCATCCTGGTTTCAAGAGCCTTTACCTTTGGTGCCAGGAGGCTGTAGGTTGTCTCCAGTCAAAGAACACCAGCCCACAGGAAAGATGTCCCGGGAGTCGAAGCGGCACCAGTAATCAAAGGCTCCTCGCCACCCATCAAAAGTGACAAGCACCTCTGAGCCCCGAACCTCCCCTATAGTGGCTGGACAAATGAAATGAGGATTCTTCCTGTCTACAGCTTCCAGCTTCATTCCCATTTTGAAGAAGTTGTGGGAAGGTGATGGTGGCTCCTAGATGGAAACATAAATAATCAGACCTAGACACAAAGAAAAGGACTAAATACATCAATAGACTGTTGTCTCATCTGGATGATTAAAACATGACTGCTATGCAAGATTTACCAAGGAGATTTAGTCTTTATTTTAAATGGATTTCAAAGTACACCAAAATATTACTTTATTAATTCTAATATTTTGACATCTTTGATTCAGTTCTTTTTAAATAAAAGGTCACAGGTAAAGCTGAATCTCCCTTTGTTCCCTTCCTTGACCCATTCTTATTTCACCTACCACAGAGGTTAACAATTACCCATGCCTGTTTTTATACTTTACTATATGTGTACATATCTATCTGCACATTTTAAGGTTTTACACAAATGATACTGTACTGATCACATCATTCTACAACTTGCCTGTTTGTTCAACATCATTTATGAAGTTTACCCATGTTGAAAAATTTAGCTCCAGTCGTTTTAACTGCTACTAGCATTCTGTAATATGTATGTATCACACTTTATTCATTCTCTTTAAATGGACATTTAAGGTTGTTTCTATTTGCTTACTATTTCAAAAGTGTTTTAATAATATTCTTGCACTGTTCCTTTGTATACATGTGGTAGGGTTTCTTCAGAATATATACCTAGGAGTAGAATTGCTGAGATATAGGATAGACATATACATCTTCTGCTTTATTAAATATTGCTAAATTGTACTCCAAAGTGTTTGCAACATTGTACACACTCACCAGCAGTGTGTAAAATCTTAGATGCTGATCTGTAGTCACATGGATCAAGTTTCAAAAAAAATGTTGTACACTCTGTTCTTGCCCTATATCTTATTGTTTCATCCTGTACCAACAACATAGTCCTATAAAATGAGTAGCTGGTAGGAAATGTCCCCCTACTTTGTGATTCTTTAATATTGTCTTGGCTGCTCTTTCTCCTTCACCTTTCAATGAATTTTATCAGCTTGTCATGTCCCACAGAAAACTCCATTAAGATTTTGACTTCAATGAGTTTATATATTAATTTGGGAAGAAATAACCTTTGTTATGTATGATATTGAGCGTTCTCATCTATGAACATGACAGTCCTTTCAATTTGTTAAGACTTCTTCAATAAAGACTTTAAATTTCCTCTATAAATATCCTGTGATTTCTTACTAACATCTTTTCTAGGCATATTGTGATTCTATTGTTATCATAAATGGTTTTTAAAAAATTATTCTCAAGCCATTTGTTGCTGTTAGGTAGAAATGAACTGGTTTTTAAAAAGCCATCAACTAATTTCATACTGCATGATATATTAATTTTTATCTACATTATTTATCCATTATTGAGAGAAGTGCATTCAGACACTCCTTAGTGGTTTTGAATTTTCCAATCTTGTCATGCAATTGTCAAATTTTTATAAATCTTGAGGCTATGTCTTTCAGGACTATAGATGCTTATAAATGCTTTAATATTCTTGACAAAATGTACTTTTTAATGATTAAGTGGTAAGCTTTAAATGCTTTTTAGCATCAGAGTCTCCTTTGATTTCGGTATAGTTTATACCAGCTTTATTTTGATAAAAGTTTACCTAGAATGTTGTTTGTTGTCTTTTACTTTTAACAGTTTTATGTCATTATGTTTAAGCAACATCCATAGTAAATAGCATATAGAATTTAAAAGGGTTAATTTCTATATGATTAAACTGATAAGTTTAGCTTCATTTCTTATGATAACTGGGATTTTTGAAATATTTTATTTTTTTGTGGTGGTGGGGGTCTGTTTCCTAGGCACCATGTCTTGAACTCATGGGCTCCAGTGGTCCTCCTGCCTCAGCCACCCAAGTAGCTATCTGGGACTACAGGTGTGTGCTACTATGCCCAGCTGAATTTATTACAGTTATTTTATTGTCTATGTTTCTATTTAACTTGATTTTCCAAGGCACTTTTACTTCTTTTTCATCACCTAAGTTTTCATACCCTTCTTACCCTCCATTGATTTAGAAATTTAAGTCTATTTATAATCTTTTCATGGATCCCTGTAAGATTTTAATTATATAGTTGAATAACAAAGACTAAAACTCATCTTTTATTTATAGTCTGAAACAATAAAAGAACATTAGAATACCTCAACTACTCCTAAGTTGTATAGTGTAGACAATTTAGTTCTACTTTATTATACTGCCGAGTATTTCCTTTTGTCATTATAATTGCTTTATACAGTAAGTGACAAGCAAACAATATATTTCCTCACCATTATTTCTTCCATCTCATTCTTACTTTATGGTTAAATCACCTTCTTTCTGAAATAAAATCTTAAGTTGTTCATTCAGGTGTTACATCAGTTTCCTTTGGTTTATTTGATAAATCTGATTTTTACTTTCATTCTACAATGACATAGAATTCTAGGTGGATGACTACTTTCTCTCAGTACTTTGAAAATATTATCCCATTTCCTTCTGGCTTATACTGCTGCTGTCAAGAAACATGTCAGCTGATCACTTTGAAGACATTCTGTTTAATTACTTTCTCAGATCTTCTCTGTCGACTTTTAGTTTCCTAGAGTTATGATGTGTTAAGCTATATATGTTTTTATTACATGCTCTGGCAAACTCTCAGTTATTATATTTTTTAATATTATCTGTTTCTATCCTTTCTAATTAATCTTCCTGGATTTCATGTTCAGCATCTGTCAGTCCTTCTAATAGTATTCTTGCTTTTTTTGTTTGTGTGATTCAAAAGTTGATTTATTGAATTTCTGTTGTAAATAAAAGAACATTAATATTTTGTTTATATTACTTTCTAGGGTACGTTCATTTACAGTTCATCAGTCTTAAATAGGTGATAATTTGCCCGTGGTTAAGTATTCTTGCTTTTTACCTTTCATGTTTCCATCTTTTTTTCTCTGTGTGCTACAATCTAGGGAAAGTCTTCAACATGTTTTCCAGGTAATTCTTCAGGTGTATGTGTTTAAGTTACATATATACCTATTAATTTTTCTTTAAGTATCATCTTTAGATGTTTCATTTGGTCTTTTTCTTCCAAATCTGTCTTTTAAAAATTGTGTTTTATGCTTTTTCTCACTTTTTTATTCCTTCTTTTAGTTCTTCAGTTATTTTCAAATACTTAAGTTATAATCTCTAGGTGACATTTCTATTGGTTGAAAGTCCTTGGGGTTATGTTACTGTTTGTTCTGTTTAATGATTCCCCCTCATGGCAGATTTGTTTTGAAAGCTTTTCAGGGCTAATTTGAGATTAAGTGCTTATCTTCAGTGGTATTTCACTTCTGGGATTTTGGTGACATCAAACCCTCTAGATAGATTTTAGATTTGCTTCTTCTAGGCACCCAGAAATATCCATACAACTGTAGAATTCCTAAACAACATAGGGAGTTTATGTGAACCTGGGACAACAAGGGTAAAGGCTCTGTTAATCAGAGGAGATGACTCCATTCCCATCCCTACACATGGTCTAGCAGAGACTCTTACTTATCAATGCAATCATTTTCTCACTTGGGGTAAACACTTCAGAGGCATTCTCTGGTTTTTATGTGGCATGCAGGTACATTTCCCTGTCTTGAATGGGCCCTAAGCATGTGTGTGTGTGTGTGTGTGTGTGTGTGTGTGTGTGTATTTTTATATATAAAAAGACACGATTCTTGAAAAGTAAGACTGGCAAAACCCCTAAGGAAACTATAGGGATAGGGTCAGTATAAACATTTAATACCATCATTTTTCTTCCTTCATTTTTGGCCTACCAAAAGTAAAATTTTTCTTACTTTCTGGTAAGCTCAGCAGAGCATTGAAAAGAATATTTGTTAGGTCTCCCCATGCCTGACAGCATTTTTAGGTATTTTGTAGTAAAAGTGTTTTCCAGTTTCCTGTACACTGAATTTTGAGAACCAGAAGGCTCTTGGGGTTTAGATTTAACTAGCAGTATAGGCTAACCTAATTCAGTTCCCCTTACAATAACTCTCACCCCAAGAGAGAATTCACCTAACAGCAGTTTGTCTGCCTCTCCTCTTGAGAAATAAGGAAGAATGAATATAGGTTTTGGATTCCCATTCCACCACTTAGCCATGTGATCTTGAGCAAGTGTTTTATTCAAAAGTATGTTTCCTTAACTATAAAATGGAACTACTAATTCTTTTTTTATATGTAAATTTTTTATTTATATATGACAGCAGAATGCATTATAGTTCTTATTACATATATAGAGCACAATTTTTCATATTTCTGGTTGTATACATAGTATATTCACACCAATTCGTGTCTTCATACATGTACTTTGGATAGTAATGATCATTAATTACCCCATGTCCCCTCCTTCCCCTCCAACCCCTCTGCTCAATCTAGAGTTCGTCTATTCCTCCCATGCTCCCGCTCCCTATCCCACTATGAATCAACATCCTGATATCAAAGAAAACATTCAGCATTTGGTTTTTTGGGATTGACTAACTTCACTTAGCATTATCTTCTCTAACTCCATCCATTTACCTGCAAATGCCATGATTTTATTCTCTTTTATTGCTGAGTAATATCCAATTGTGTATATATATCCGTTCATCTATTGAAGGGCATCTAAGTTGGTTCCATAGTTTAGCTATTGTGAGTTGTGCTGCTAAACATTGATGTGGGTGTGACCCTGTAATATGCTGATTTTAAGTCCTTTGGGTATAGACCAAAGAGAGGGAGCCTAGTCAAATGGTGGTTCCATTCCCAATTTTCCAAAAAATCTCCATACTGCTTTCCATATTGGCTGTACCAATTTGCGTCCCACCAGCAGTATATGAGTGTACCTTTTTCCCCACATCCTCGCCAACACTTATTGTTGTTTGTATGCATAATAGCTGCCATTATAACTGGAGTGAGATGAAATCTTAGATTGGTTTTGATTTGCATTTCTCTAATTGCTAGTGATGATGAACATTTTTTCATGTATTTGTTGACTGATTGTACATCATCTTCTGAGAAGTGACTCTTCAGGTCCTTGGCTCATTTATTGATTTATTTGTTTTTTTTTTA